AAAACGAAAAATAAATAAATAAAATAAAATAAAAAAGTAATATATGAATAAACAATAAATACGTTCGTCGTCGTAAATTTTTTCAGTGGTTTCAGTATGGATGGTTTTCGTGAAGCCACCTTCCGTCCGTCCCGAAAATCAAAAGAGAATTTAAATAGGAGAAAAAAAAAAAAAAAAGAAAGGATAGAAACCGACAAGAAAGTAAAAGAAAGAGAAAGAGAAAGAAAAAGAAAAAAAAAAAAGGGGAAAGAATTAAAAATATAATTTTCGTAACGAGAACACATAAAAGCACACCATGTATTTGCGGCTGTACTTACAAACACGTTTGGTGGGGGTTGGGGGGGGGTTGGTCCATGATGTATGTACTTAACAAAAAAAAAAAGAAATAAGAAATAACACACACAAACACATCGAATAAAAAACACAACAAGAGAGTGGGGTGGGAGGGGGGGGGGTACACGTAAGCGTTACCACGTGAAAAATAAAAAATAAAAAGGGGAAAGTAAACGAAACACAAAATTTACACGCATACGTACATATATATAATTATAAAAAAACACACACACACACATATTATACACAATTGAATATGAGCTACGATTGGTGGGAAAAATTTCGTCGGCGTCTTTCTCAGTTTACAACAAGCGAGCTTAAATTTTTGAGTTTCCCCGTAATAAAAGGAAGCTGCTCGAGCGTGCGTAAAGAAATGAATTTAAAGGAATTATAAAAAAAAAAAAAGAAAAGAGGAAACGAATGTGAATTAGAAAAAGAGAGTGAGAGAGAGTGAGAGTGAGAGTGAGAGAGAGAGAGTGAAAAAGTGAGAGGTGAAACGTGTATATAACTTAACCACGACGATTTGTTATTTGACTTATTCGTCTTAGGTACTTATTATTATTATTATTATTATTATTATTATTAATATTATTATTATTATTATTATTATTATTAATATTATTATAATTATTGTTTTAATTTTATTTTCCCTTTTTTACATTACCCTTTTTCTAGATTTGTTTGTTTTATTTCTATATTAAACGTTTCTTAGAAATTTTTGTAAACCCTCTTCCCTTATCCTCCTCCCTTACCCTTTGTTGTTCCATTGTTAAAAAAAAAAAATAAATCGACGAGTATGGGACACCATCATCGGTCCGTACGATCTTAACGCGAACCTTCCTGACTTTTTTTTTCTTTTTCGTTTTTTTTTTTTAAGAACATTCTAAATATTGTATTTAAATGCGTTTTAGATTGTGACAGAGAGAGAAAAATTGGTTCTACTTGTTAACATTTGATCATTTTTCATCTCTCTCTCTCTCTTTTATGTTTATTTCGAATCTTTTATTTACCCCTTCCTCTCCTCGCCGACCCACCCACGGATTCGTCTCTATCTTCTCTCGTTTCCTAATGTT